AAAAGACGGCTGAGTTTCTAATTTTCATTTTTCTTTTCCCCGCATTCGTGTTGCGTATAGTCACAGAAACCCAGCCATTAACTTCAGCATAAGCGCTGGCAGAGCAAACCAAGGAAAACAAATGAAAATTATGGCTGACTTGGACGCAGTGCACCTGGGCTTGGATGAAAATGAAGCAGATATTGCCGAGGAACTGCAAGATTTCGATGACTCCTTCGATACGCGGAGTGAGGCGTCTGAATCAGGTTCGGAGTCGTCGGACTCCCAGCCAAGTATTAGTTCAGTTAGCTCGGTAGCGTCGTCTGTCGCTGACAAGCGCAAGACCAAGATAAAGAAGAAAGTAAATAAGGAAAGTGAAAAGAAAGTAGGTACGAAGCGTTCTTCGTCGCCAGGTGGCGGAGCAATGAATGGCAAGAATATTGCGAGTGGTGGGAAGAAAAAACGAAGTACCGCAGATTCATCGCATAAAGATGCCGAATCATCAGGTAAAGCTGCAGAAAGTAAAGCTAGTAGCAGCAAAGAGAAGAAGCTTCAGAAAAAGGCAAGCAGCAGTGCAAGCAAAAACTCTTCCGCTACAGCAGCCAACAGCAATGGCCCGGCAAATACAAGCAGTGGTTCAATATCAGCTCATGCAAACACCAGCGGCAATAAGAGCGAGGCTAGCGATGCTGAAGACAAGACAACATCGAAGACACCTTTCGATAGTGATTCAGAATCGGAAGATTCCGATTCAGCAGCAAATATAAAACGTAATGGACGAAAGGCGATCTCTAAGAGCGCTTCACCAGAAAAGAAGACACAAGGTGGAACTAATGCTAGTGGAAAATCTTACGATTATATGACTAAACTGAACTACTTATTCCGTGGTACTCACTTCTTCCTAATTAAATCAAATAATGCAGATAATGTGGCTATTGCAAAATCCAAAAATGTATGGGCCACATTACCCCAAAATGAAGCAAATCTTAATCAGGCATTCAAGGAGTCGCGCAATGTTTTGCTAATCTTCTCCGTCAACGAGAGTGGTGAGTCATATTTCTGGTTTTACGTTTATTGTTAATATATTTTTCTTGAGTTTTGTTGTTAATATTTGCATACATATAGGTATACATATGCATGTATGTTCGTTGCATGTAATGACATACATGTACATATAGCGAAGTCTGTCAAGTCATTGAACCGGCTTGCACTATGCAATGATCTTTAAATCGGTATTCTGCGATAGACAGTAGAGAAAAATTAATTTGTGTTTATAATTTTATCTACAAAATATATAAGTACAATATGCTAAAATATATTTTCTTGATACTTCTCAGGCAAATTTGCCGGGTTTGCTCGCATGAGTGCACAATCGCGGCGGGACCTTTCGCATCCTGCTTGGGTATTACCACCTAGTATTTCACCTAAGGCCTTGGGCGGTATAATTGAGCTCGATTGGATTTGCCGCAAGGAGCTTTCATTCAACTGCACTTCACATCTGTACAATACTTGGAATGAAAGCAAGCCGGTAAAAATTGGGCGTGATGGTCAGGAAATTGAACCTAAAGTCGGTTCGGAACTGTGTCGTTTGTTCCCAGAAGATGAAAAAATCGAAATGACGCCTATATTACGAAAATCCAAAGAGACTGCTAAAATGATGCGTGAGAAGGGTATACGTGTTTCCTATCGTCCACCGCGAAGCTTATCATCACGTGGCAGCCGTGGTGGAGGTGGTGGCAGCAGAGCTTACTCGGGCTTTCATCAAGGGGATCGTCGTGCTGGTGGTGGTGGTGGTGGCGGTGGTCCAATGCGACACCGCCGAACATTTAGCTCAGGGCCCCATCGTCCTTACAAACTACCACCTATTGGAATGCCACCTGGAGGTGGTTTTAAACGCTCTTCTTCGCCATATCGTAGCGGCGGAGGCCTTCACCCAGGCGGTGGTGGGGGCTCACGCGCAGGTGGCGGCGATGCAGGCTTGCCATCATGGGATCGTTACATGAATTCTGCCGAAGCATATATGGTGGATTACATGCGTTCCATGCATGGACAGCTTCCACCGTTGCCATTCGTTCCACCTTTTGCGCAACTTCCACTCTCTGCTTCCGGTTCAGGCGCTTTACCACCGCCCGGACCACCGTCGATGTATGATCAGCTACCGCCACCAGTGCGTTACTACGATGGACCACCACTGCCCGATTACCCGCCGCCTCAACCGATCAGGCCTCCACCGCCTGGTTTTGACAAAGCACCATCTTATGAGGATTTCGCAGCTTGGAAGAATGCAGGCCTACCAACGTTACCAGAGGGCATGCCGCCAGGCTTTCCAAGCTTTGGAAGTAGCGCTGGAGCATCATCACCCAACGGTGGAAGCACTGGTATTGGGGGCTCAAGCTCTACAGCAGGTGGTGGCAGTTTTTCAAGTTCCGCCAACAATATGGGCGCAGGCACAAATAACAACGGTGCCAATAGTTTTCGCAGCAGCAGTCAACGAACTAACAATTCAAATATGATGCGTCCACGTGAAAGAGCCGGCGTCCGGGAATATCGTGGACCCAGCGGCGGCATAAGTGGCGGCTCAGGTTCCCGTAGCGCTGGTAATGATAGACATTTCCGCGCAGGTGGTGGCAGTAGCGCCGGTGCTCGTAATTATCGCGATGGCAGACGCTAAGACAGCGATGTGAAAATAAATTAAATATTAAAATACACAAATAAAGGTGTATAGTGCAGCATATGCAGTCCAGACGACTGCGTTGCAAGCCTCCTCCCACTGTGTATGAGAAGCAAATCAAACAAAGCTCGTAAGATTGAAGGTTTAAAGCCGAGTGAAAAAGAAAAAAAGAGTGCGTAAAAATAACTGAATATTATATGATAAACAAATATCCTAAAAAGTAACCGCTTAAAAAGCACGCTGTAACCTCTTCGTGTTCGAACTTTGCAATTGAGAAAAAAAAATGTGGTGTGAGAAAACGCGT